ATAATAATAATAATAATAATAATAATAATAATAATAATAATTCAGCCATAATGAGCTGATTCTTCGAACACTACATTCAGATTTAGACCTTTCAGGGGAAATTAAAAAAACTCCGTATGGGAAAGAGAGAAAGGTGGAAACGGATAGCTACTGGCATTTAGCAATCCCCATTAACTGCCAGGGACAGATCTGTGCACTCCTGGTCTGTCTGGGTCTGTGATAGCACAATGCTTATAATATGGTCAGGGGGCAGGGGATCTCTATGTGCTGTGCTTACTGGAAACATGGAGCTCGGTGCTGGAGAACTTCCCTGAAGAGAGGGAGCACAGCAGTGAGAAGAGCTGTCTGGATAGCCTGCCTACCCCGCTACACAGCCCCAAGGCATAAGCACTGCGCCTCCTCTATTCCAGACCATCACCACAGCCCAAACCTACGCTGATGCAGAGCTCAGACACTCAAGGCAGAGGCCCAGCCGGCACTTTCCGTTAGCTCTGGGCAGTGTCCAGGCACGTTAGTGGTCCTCTCTCTGGTGGTCCCTCCAGTCCAACTTCCTCCATATGAGGCAGTGAGTCTACAGGATGCTCCTACGCCTTTCCTTGCTGACTCAGTAGGATTCTGGAATTCCCTACCCAAAGACCCTGAATCTACTCCCAAAGCCTGTGCAGGCCTTTTCCACAGGCCTGTCCTCCTGATGGTGTGCACAACCCTAGGCACAGCAGTGTGTGGCTAGGGGGAGGTCCGAGGCTGCTGTCTGTGCTGGTGTAGATGGAGTTCTGACATGGAGGCTAGACTGCCTACAGGGCTTCAAGAAAGAAGGAAGGGGGTGACCAGACTGAGGACCCCCACTAATGCCTTTCAATGGGCCATATAAATAGAAGCAGCTGGCTTAAGTCTTGTTATCCAAGACCCAGAAAAATGCCTGGTGGGGAGGACATGTTCAAAATCTATTTGTTGACTGACTAATTGACTAAATAAATGAATGAGTTGATCAGCCAATCAACACATGTACGTACAAAGAGTTCAATGTTGACCTCCTGTCCAGCCATCCTTGGGAAAAGATGACTCTGTCAACAGGATATCTATTGTCCCCTGAGCTGTACACAGATATAAGATACAATGAAAGGAAAGGAAAGATAGATTCCAAGGTAGACTGAGGGAAATCAAAGCCCAGGAGTGCCCTGAATGCACCAGAAGACATTCTTGATGGGTGAGAGAGCAATTTCAGGAAAGAATAAATGAAATGGCTAGTAAGTTAAATCCTAGAGGGTCACCCAGACTTAGCAGCAGAGCCAGTGACTCAACCAAAACTGAGACATTTCTCATGAGAGTTAAACATTATGTGTGGGTTCCATAATGCTCACTCCTTTTTAAAAATTTAACTTTCAAAATACACACGGAGTCTAAACTATTTTCATTTGTATGTATATTATGAACATACTGCATCGTGTAAACATAAATAAATGGATGTTATTTATCTCAAGGGGGAATTATCTTTTTGGATTATTCAACACAATCTGTTCACCTATATACTTCTCCAGTCTATTTTTAAAAGCCTCCCAATCTCATATGTCTATCAGTTGTTTTATGATCAGTTTTGCAAACAACTATCAAAATTTCAAGATGCCTGATAGTGTTAATTATCATAAATATAAAGGAAGCCCCACGAAACATTCACAGGATTAGCCCAATGCACCTTGATTGCGATGGCACAAAAATGCATGTATCAGATGGTACATTAAACTGGGCCTGACACACTTCTCTTTTTACACTCCTGATGTCTGCAGTTCTTTAAGAAAAACGAACAGCTCTGGGCATCTGGGTAGCTCAGTCCGTTAA